TTAGTCTTTCCATCGATCCAGACTTAGTATTTTCTGCCTTGATGTCTTCATCGATCTTCTTGTTCTTCATCAATTATTGTTTTTCATTACTTTTTACATTTTGCATTATGGGATCTAACATGAAGGTTCAACGAACACAGAGAAAACAAATGGGTAAACAGATTTTTATACAATCTGTTGATATATGTTGTCTTTTTATTTTTTTTGGTGGTAGTTACAAAGGGTTATGTGTCTTGAAAATGAACCTTTACAATATGTTTGTTGTGAAGGTTCAGTTACTCAAAGTCAATTATAAGATTTTTTGTGTAGTTTGTTATGACATTTTTATGGACTTTCTATGTATTGGTATTTAATAAAACAGGTGTTTTTTATAATGTTGAGAGGGCGACATTTCTACTTGGTGGTGTTCAATCTTAAGAAGCCATGATTTCTCATTATAGACAATATCAATCATACGCAAGGTATTAAAGAAGTTTATGGTATTGTTCCTGAAACATTGGTAAGCTTTTAGTTATGTTAAAATTTGATAATAAATATTTTCTTTTGTTTATAATAGAGTTAAAAGTATGATTGATGATATATTTTTTTATTTAATTTTAATTATACAGCATTCATTATTTTGCAACTTCTTAAGAGAAGTTCATCATCCAAAAGCCTATGAGATGTTACAGCTTCARCCAGAAATAGTTGATATGGATTGGAGAACAAAGAAAAATTTTGTTGATTGTGGGGTCTTTGCTATGCGTCATATGGAGACTTTTTTTTGGGTCAAAGTTAAAAGATTGGAAATGCGGGCTTGTAAAAGAGGGTACCAAGAACAAAGCCCAAGAAAAGCAAGTTAATGATTTGAGAAAAAAGTACGTAGCAAAGATTCTATTATCCAACTTGAATATAGTGAAGTGTAAAGTAGCCGACGAAGTGAAGGAATGGCAAGGCTATGATGTCAAAGAACAAAACCGACTTTTGGAAAAACCTAGGGAAGAATTGGGAAAAAGGTTTGCTTCAGAAACGATGTGGGTACACTATTTTATGTTTTCCTCTATGTAATGGTCTAACAGGTTGTTTTTTCAAGGAAGTTTTGTCAATCATTAGGCAGCTTGTTGTGATAATAATGTTTAGGTAGCATGTATAAAGTAGTATTGGCAGTTTTTTGAGTTATAATTCATGAGCTTCATGAGAATTAATGAGCTTCCTAAATATTGATTTACAATTTCATACCTTCACAACATGGACATTGTGAAGGTACAGATTTATCAACTGGTAATTGGAGTTAGATTTTTATGTTTGTTTTCATTTTACTATCTAATGACATTAACGTGTATGTCAACACACTAGAGTAAGATTTATTAAGTATTCTTCATTAAGTTGATACAACTATTAAGTTTTAGGAAGTAACCTTCACAGTCACTTGTTGTGAAGGTCCAGTTTTATAAATAAATTCAACTTACATTCTATTTCATGAGAAAGAGAACTTATATAATATCAACACTTGATTATAAATTAACCAGAAAACATATTCCTTCACGGTAAATTTATTGTGAAGGAATAAGGTTATAGATCGCAAATGAGTATTTTTATGAACCTTTACAAAAAAATTAGGGTTGTTTTCCTAAATACTTACCCATAAAGTTAAACATTATCACTTAACTTACTGAATAAAATTTTAGTCTATCAAAAGAGCATCATATGCAACAATCAACCCTGT